TTGTTTGTTTTTGTTTTTCTTTTCTCTGATGCCCTTTCCCTTGTGTCTCCATGCAGGCAAGCTCTATTCAGAACCAAATGCAGTCCAAGGGGGGCTATGGAGGCAGCATGCCTGCAAATGTTCAGATGCAGCTTATAGATACAAAGGCAGGATAACCTTGGGGAAACCTTTCCAGTAAGTATGGCTCGCTTGCTTTTTAGGCACTGGCATAATAGTAAGGAAGAAGGTGCTGCCGCATGTTGGAATAAGCTCCCTATCAATAGCTGCATCCTTACGATGCACTATTTCAAAATGTATTTCTGGGTAGAAGGTTTGGTATCAAAGCATTCAAAATTCAGTTTAACACGTTTTCTGTGTTGCAGGTTTATGTGAGTTCCTGTGTCCCCTCTTTGCCTTGGTGACTGCTTTCTGTGTTCATGACAAGAGAGAAGTGATGGCTCGTTATTCATCTGATGTGATTACTCCAGTGAAAAGTTTCTGTTCTGCTCTGATGATGGCATTTCTCAGATTGGTCCTACCGTGCCTTTCAGTGGCATGCTCACATTGGCCTCTACCAGCCCTACAGACGTAGAGCTGTTTAAGATCGTTGTGTTGGGTTTTTTTGGTTGTTTGGTTTTTTGGTTGTTTTTGTTTTCACATTAACTGTAGCTTCCCTCACCCTTCTCACAAATACGAATGCACAGCATTCAGGTGCTCTTTATTCTCTGCTCAAGTAAGTTAGAATTGATTAAGTTTCCATTAATATTTTTAATCTCTCATTGTTCATATACATTGTTCATATACAGGCACCAAGTCATGCTTGTCTCCGAAAGAGGGCTTGTAACTTAGCTGCTTCAGAGTTATGTCTTTTTTTTTTTTCAGTTTTTACCCAACTGGTCTTGAAATAATAAAGAGCGAGCTTGCATTCATAAGGCATTTGTTGTAAATATTCAAAATATTTATTTTGAAAGAGCTGACCTCGAGACTGTACACCAGTGTAGTATCTAAGTGTTATGGAAGCGCTTTAGTCTATTAAAAAAAACATGTTTGGCTGCTGCTTTTTCCTTTTACAGGTGTTTTTGTTTTTGTTGTTTTGTTTTTGTTTTTTTCTATTGATTTTAGGTGTAGGGTCATTTCCAGTAGCAGCATGTCAAACTACTTGCAGTATTAGCTGAAGTTTAGTAGACCTCTCTAGGTAGTTGGCAGCTTCTGTGTGCTAAATATTTTGGGGCTGTGGAAGTTGCTAAGAGCAGCATACTAATCTGGCAGAACAGATGCCAGCAAAAATAACATGCAGGGTTACTTTTTACTAAGTCAGTAAAAAGCCTTTTGCTCAGGTTTTGAAGCATGTTTCTCTTTCACACATTGTGAAAATTGTATTTTAATATTGCACTGTTTCCAGATGATCTCTGTAAATGGTCTTTTTTTTTTTTCTCCCTTCCTTCTTGTTTTGTTGGTGGTTTGAAACAAGTCAATTGTTTGAATCCTGATTGAGTTTTAATGGTGAGGGGGAGAGAGGGAGGGAGGGAATCATCCTAACGGATAAGGCACCACTAAGCTTACTCAGATTCATTTTTATATGTGCACACACATGTTTATAGATTGCTGTCATAAATGGTTTGTTCTTCTCTTCCCATCCTTTCCCTGACTTCACATTGCAACAGCTATCAGATTGATTTTTAAACACGTACAAACCTGCCTACTGTCATCTCCCAGTTCACAACCAGTAGGCAAAATGCAATGACCATGGAAGTAGTTGGCCTTCCCTAAGGTCCAGTGGCAGGTGTCAGCTGTTGTCTGTAGGAGGGCTTTATACCAGTGCAGGTGGGCATGCGCTGAGGAGCAGCACTCATTGGCTACAGGCTCCCAGCTGATTGGTTCTCCTCCAGGTGCTTGGTTGCTAGGCGTCGGTCCAGTTCCTCACAAACTTCACTTTCCTATATATTCTTACTAAGGCCTCAACACAAGTCAATTGTTTGAATCCTGATTGAGTTTTAATGGTGAGGGGGAGAGAGGGAGGGAGGGAATCATCCTAACGGATAAGGCACCACTAAGCTTACTCAGATTCATTTTTATATGTGCACACACATGTTTATAGATTGCTGTCATAAATGGTTTGTTCTTCTCTTCCCATCCTTTCCCTGACTTCACATTGCAACAGCTATCAGATTGATTTTTAAACACGTACAAACCTGCCTACTGTCATCTCCCAGTTCACAACCAGTAGGCAAAATGCAATGACCATGGAAGTAGTTGGCCTTCCCTAAGGTCCAGTGGCAGGTGTCATTTACCCAGTTGACTAGTTGTGGTTAGGTTAGGTAGTCTTCACAAATAAAGTTATTGATTCGTGACTACACAAGGTCAGGATGCTCAGTTGTCTGGGGTGCGTAAACACATGATAGCACAGTGATTTTTGTTGTTGTTGTTGTTAAGGGCTCAGCATTTCCAATGCCACCGTATCAATGAGTCTTAAATCTGCTATGCTTTTGAAATGATTTTAACTTTGTCATCAGCAACTACGGCTGAAATTTGCTTGCTGAAGCTATATTGCCTTTGTCAAAATTTCTTCAGCTCAATATCCAGAAAAAAAGAAATTTGAAGTTTTTATAACAAACAGGCATACTTTTTTGCACATTGTGTTTATTCTTGAATAAAGTCAGTTCGGTATTGGCTTGTAGATATTAAAAGGAAAGTATTGACTTTGATTCAATACATTTTTTCTTTCAGTTGGTGGCTTACCCTTTTTCTAAGTTACACTATGGAAAAACATTTGCATCCTACAGCCAAACTGGTGGGGGAAATTCTGTAACCTATTGTAAGTATTGTAAGTAACCTATTAGTGTGAGAAGAAAAAGTAATTTGCAGGCTTCAGTGTTTTTTCATGCCACTCGACTCTTTTGTTGCCAAGTCAATTAAACCTTAATTTTATAAGCAGTTTTGTTTAATTGATTTAGTGTGTTTACCAGGGGCCTCTGCAAGGATCTTAGAGAGAAAGTTTCTTAATATGAAACAAATCCTAAACCTCTCATGCAGGTTTTCCCCCTTATGGGTTTCCTTCTTGTTTGCTCTTGATGGTGATGCAGGTTATTTTATTGTGGTGATCTGTAGAAGACCTATTAAATACAGTATCACAGTAATACATACATCCCCATTAAATCTACCTGTAAGGCACAGTATAATCTACTCTGCATTTTGCTTAATTCATTGCTACTTATGTTTGACACTCCAAGTTAATTCCTCAAGAACCAATTTACTACTTTAAACTCATGCTAAATTTTTTAAAGAAGGATACTGAATTATCTGTCATATTGATAAACTATTGAAGTTGCCAGTTAAAGAAAAAAAGATAGTTGTACAACGAAAGAAAGAAAAATCAAGACAAAACCATGAGATGAGGATCAACTGCAAAACTCTTTTTAATAGTTAAGATTATCAAAGATTTATAAAGTGTACCCTGGTGAAAGAGCCAATCGAGTAACAGTGATTTAGCCAGAATTCACTACTGTGAATACAGAGCATTCACTACTGAAATAAAGGCAGCTCTCATTTCTAAATGTTTTCACAAATCCAAGAAAGAAAAGTCAAAAAAGAAATAATGCACCCACAAAGCAGCAGGCTTACTAAAGTATTTAAGATGCCTAGAAAAGGAGATACTTTAACCATTTATTAAAATAATTTGGTTGGTCTCTTCAAGGGAAGCTCACGCTTAGTCTTTAGCCTGTTTAGCTGCCTCAAGCAGTAGTACAAGTTAATTTCTGTTGCATCTTTTTAAAATAAGATGCTGAACATAGTCTTGGTCCCAAGTGGCATACATCACGATGTAATTATCCTGACTTGAGTACCCTATTTCTTTGGAGTCTAACTTTTAAGTTTTTACTATTTTATGTGCATAGATTTGAATAGCGCTCCCTCCTAATTAATTGAAACTTTTCTTTTTGTGTGCGTGTGTGTCCCTAAACTTCAGGGGCATTTTGTGTCTGTTAGTGCCTTACTGTGAATCCTGATCTTCATCTTCCTTGAAGAGTAGCTCTGTTACATTGCCTGTTTACCTGCCTGTCCGGGTCTGAAGCCATGCGCAGTGAGCTATTTGGAAATTAAGTGATTCTGAGTATGGCTGAATGATGGTATTTCCAAGCAGGAAGTAAGAGTAAGACTGAATGGAAACTTACCTTTTTTTTCTATGGGTAATGGTCTGTATATTGAAATAACAATAGCTGAATTTTGGTTAAATAAATAAACAATAAACTAACATAACTACAGACCATCCCAAACTTGAGTAAATTCCACTCTAAATGGAAGCCATGTTTCTTGACTCATTGCTATGAATGTATAGCTATGCAGTGTATGGCTGCATTCATTGAAAATCAACCAAAGATGTGACCCACGAAAACATGGTGGAATGTCTTTGCTCTTGACAGATGTTTTATGCGTTATTGACATATATTAAAACAGTGTCTTGGTGAGCATATTTAAAAAAAAAAAACTGTGATGGGGAAGAATTGCATGTGATCTTGTACTATTTCAGAAGAAGAAAACCCATTCACTTTCACGGTATTCACTTTTTCATCATTTGTGTAATGCAAAGCGCTCAGCGATTCCATATACACATGATCACCTAACTATTGTCAGCTATACAGATGCTCGAATGCATTATTTAAAGATATGCACTATTCAATAAATAACTTGATGAATATGTAATTGTATTTAGCATCCCTAATATGCAAGTATAATGTAGACCTGGCTGTAGGTTTATGTACAGTGACAATTACTTTCACTTTCAGCATTAAGCTTTCTGAAAAAAAACACATTCAAAATGGTAACTGCACTGTACCAGCAGTAGCTATGCTTAGCGCAGCAGTGTAGTTACCAGATTGAATGTTTTTTCTCTGGAATGAATGCACGCTGGCCCCATGATTTTCTTTCTTCTGCCGCTGCTGCTAATTGCGCCCATCACTGCTAAGCAAGATGTGACTTTCTGCCTTCAGACAAATTGAGAGAAATTACGAATTCAGGCTTCAGACAAGTTCCTAAATGAGCCCAGATGATCTTAGTGTGGGTAGAGTTGGCAATAAATAGCTGAACACCAAACGTGCTTACTTAAACATGGTGCAGAAATCTATGAACACGTTATGAAGAACTGAGCTGTCACACAAAGGGCAAAGTTCAGTTGTCATAACACAGTTATTCGGGCATTTTGTGGAGTTTTTCATGGCAAAGTTGAATAATGTGCAGCCCAATTATTTTTTTCCCAAAATCTGCTGTTCTGTTTTTAGAGAGTAAGATTTTAAGAGTCTATTAACAGAAAAGTAGAACGTTATGCTTGGCATGTTAGTTCTTTTAAATGAAGTGGATGCTTTACCTTTGGGTCTTGGCAATAGTAAGAAGACACTCTTTGCAAGCCACAACACACACAGAACAATATTGGAGATCTGGTAGGTCACATTGAAGCCACCTGGCTCTGATTTTTCTACTGCTTCAAGAAGCTAAAGATAGAATTAAAAGCTTATGATAGGTTTTATCAGAGTAACAGTGACTTTAAGGGGAGGAGGTGTTTCAGCATGAAACAGAGAGCTGCCCACTATATCAATCATCTAC